GAAGGAGCTGGCAAAAGAGGAAATTCCGGCTGCAATAACGAGCCTGCTTTGCAACCCAGGGCGAAAGCGTGGGGCTGTTTATCTCTCAATCTGTAGGTTACAGGGCTGAATCTGCTTGATAAGGGGAAGGGATCGCATAACTGCCGTGACCCCGAGATCTGAGCGGTCGGGAGCACCTCCGGTTCCCGGGGGCTCCCCCTGCCTGGAGCGGGGGCGGCGGGGGGCCTCTGGTCCTGCCGCACCGGGGAGGGGTGCGTGGGGGCTTCACAGGGAGCGAAGGCTGGGCGCGGAGGAGGTCGGACACCAAGTCCCGATGCTGCTTTCAGTACAGGCGAAGAAACAGAGCGGGCTCGTTTCACTTTCCTATTGTCAGATTTCAAGGTGCAGCAACAGCCAACACGTGGGGAATTAACCCCGTGCGATGCCGCGCTCCTTATTGCCTTGCCTTGCCTTGCCTTGCCTTCCCTGCTGGCGGGGGGTGTGACATTCCCTCCTTCCCCCCCGCCTGAGTTAGCGGAGGGGAGCTGGGACTTCATTAGCATAGAGCACGGCGGAGCAAAGCGCTTTCCTCTCGCAGGAGCTGTTGCTAGATGGGATTGTTGAAGTTCCTGAATATTCAGGGCAGCAGGACAAAACAGCCTGGAATAACTTCCAAGCGCTGACATAACTGTAGCTGCTCGGGTAGCTCTGCTGTTGTTTCATGTGGAATCAACATGAATATTAATAGATGCTCTTAGGCTTTTTTTTTTCTTTTGTGTGTGTGTGTGTGTGTGGCATGTAACTTGTAACAACTCTGCAAGAGTTCCAAGATTTGGTCCTTAAAATAAACTGATGGAAGTTTTATTTTGCTGCGGTCATACTGTGTGAATCGTAATTTGAACACATGAAATTAAAAAAAGAGAAACTTTTTTTGGGGGGTTGGGGAGGAGAGTACGGGGACAACAATTCCTGGACTTGGCAGGGCTATAAAAGGGTTTGGCAGCCTGGTTGTAACATGGGCTGATGATTATGTCAACAGCACAGAATCGGCCGTGTTTCAGCTGTGTCTGAGGTCTGCTCCTACACTCCCATCCAGCGTAGTAGAAATTAGCGGGTTCAGAAGTGGATAGGATTTGACCCTTAAAAAGCGTAATTGTAGCAGACTTATTTATACATCCATTAAGCAAATAACTTAATGGAAAGGATATACAATAGGTATGCAAGATGTATTATTACAGTATAGACAAATAAAGCAAAGCGGGTCAGTGAGTTTTGGTCAAAATAGATGATATCATCAGAAGATAAAACTGTATTTACTTTCTGGGTTTCCCCTCCGATACATTTAATTCTGATTCTTCTTTCCTTGCAAATAAATTAATTATTTCTGACGTTACAGTAATTATGCAGGATACTTTCATCTACTCGGTTTAGTGATTTAAGCGACCTTTCCAGTCTCTCAGTTACTGCATACTTCAGCCGGGTGATGTCTTTTTGTATCCTGGGTGGACATGTACTGTTGAGATAGATGCTGTAAGAGCCAACTCCATCCTAGCAGCTAAATTGTTATACTCATCAGATTCAAAAATTTTGAACCAGCATCTTACCACGGTTATATTTGTCTCGTAATCAGCTGATGCACTCGAATACCCTAATCCCTTTTTGGAAAGCTTCATCAAGGTTAATACGTCATTTAATCAAAAAAGGCATCCAAATAAAGCCATTACTTTGTTGTTCTTTAAATGGATTGAATCGTTAGTTGCCAGTTGCTGTGGAAATAATTTGCAGTAACTTCTTTCAAGATGGAAAAGTTTTAGACGTGTTTCACCAAAATGATACATTTTAACTGTGATATTGCTATTTAAAAAAATCAATAAAACAAAAATCAATAAAACACCAAGGGATTTTCTATTGAATCCTTAATGTGGAGGTCTGTAAAGTGAATTGGTTTCTGTGTTTATTTGTGATACTACTAATAATAACATGATACTAAAGGACCTTTTTCTAAATTAGGCTTCTGTTATCAGTTCACTGGAAAAATAAGCTTCCGTTATGGAAGATGACTTTTCTTTTCTGGTCATACTGACCTTTGCTTTTATTTTGCTCATAAAAAGCATTGGTCGCCAAACAGAAATCCAGGAAATAGCAAACTGCATTTAGCTTACATTCCGATTAAACGGTTTGACATTAATGGGATGCTAGAAAGCCATATGCCAAACAAGCAGGGGAAGGATAAAGGCAAAACATGGAAAATATTTAAAGCTACTAGATGCCAGTCTAGTCAGTTTTCTTGAATGTGTGCATGAAAGAGAGTAGCGAACTGTACGCTGGATGTCACCTGCCTAGGATTAATGACCTGGAAGCTATTGATCCCAGATTGTTTCTGGTCCCTTGTGTTTCGAGCACTTGTCGTGGAATTTTACCATGCTGGGTCCCTTCGTGGAGTTTTCCCATAGACTTAGGCTGACTTTGGATCGTGCCCACCCGAGTCAAGACTAAAAGCGTGTGCCGCCTTCTGACCTCCCTCCTGTGGCCAGGATATGTTAATCTTTTCTGACATTTGAAGATGATTTCGAATGAGTTCATTGGCATTCATACTCAAAGCAGGGAATTATTTGCACTGTTTGGAAGCTATTTACAAATTTCGGAAAACAACCCAATTGATTTTTGAATATAAAGTGGAAAGATGCTGAACATGAAACAATTCTCTTCAAAGCCTGTCTTACAGGGCAGTTATTCAGTCTCTCTTCACTAGCTTCTGCTCCTCTCAAATTATGTGGACCTAGCATGCGCTTGTTTACTGAGTACCGCACGCTTGCATAGTTTTTTTTCTGTTTGTATTAATTAAAGGAGTTTCTCACCCAGATAGGTTAGTACAGATCATAGACATATTAAATGAACAGGTCAGCAAGTGCAGCTGGAAGGAATGTCAAATACATAGTTTCTGTGGTTTATATTGATGACCTTCCTTCTTGCCACAGATTACTAAAATATAATCAGCAGAAATACGGTAGGTTTTACAAGCAAAGTCGACTTCTAGAAGGCCAGAGGATAAATTGTAGTAACTATAAAGAAGGAGTAAAAGGTTTGGAGGTTCCTCAGGCTTAAAAAAAATCCCGTAAAAGACTCCAGCCGCTCGCAATAACAGAACTTTAATCTCCATCCTTTGGTATTTATTTATTGGTAAATGTTATAAATTAGAAGCTGAGATCTTTGGACCATATGTATTACAACAGAACAGACTATTTACCCCTTTAATCTGACACTTAGTCCCCAGCAGTAGCCCAGTATCTGCTACTCGAGGAGGGGAACGCTTCTCCCCAGTGAATGTTCGTCGCCCGTTGTGCAATGCTGCCGGTGCTGTTCCTGTGCAGGGATGTGCGGGGCTGCTAGGGATGGGCAGAGGGACGTTTTTTCCTGATTGCTTCACATGGTTTGCCTGAAGTAGTCAATTTGATTAACTCCTCCTTTATCTTACAGCTATGAATATTGGTAAAGTTTTGTGGGGTGATTTATTTTTTTTTTTTAAATAGAAATCTTTTACTGGTGGCTGCAGTTTAAATAAAAATGCACAGTTTTGTCCCAACTTTACTTAGGAGAACAGAGTGCGTGAGAGCACAGCGAATAGCTTGGCTGTTTCCACAAACCATTGCGGTGTCTCTTCAGATGCTCAGCTCAATTTTAGGCCTCCGCTCTCTTAGGGGAGCTGTAGGCAGGATGCCTGGGGCTGCTTATCCCACCTGGGGTGCTGGGAGCTACTGGCGCCCCGCAGCGTTACCCCCATGGGCGGGCGCTCGGGGGGGGGCCCTGCTCCCACACCAGCATTCTTCTCCGCGACTCCTCAGCACCGTGAACCAAAATGTGCTCAGAGTAATCTTACTCGCTACTTGTCTGCCTCGTATTTTGTGATCTGGAGCATGTTCCGGATGTTTGTTGGA